TCTTATACGACGTATCAATAAAAGTGCTAAAATGTTCATGATCTCCTCCCGCCTTTTCCCTAATCATGAAGCCATGCGGCGGTGATGTAATTTATCTGGCTCGTCCATCCGTGAGAATAGTTTCGCCCTTCGTGTTTCACAAGGGAGACGTGAGGGAGAGCTCCAAGTACTCGAGGCGTTCTGTTAGGTGTACAGAACCGTCAAATCTCCCCTTGTGAGTTCACGGACCAGTTCCACCAATGGTTCCCGTAATCCACTTTAGTTAAGAAAAATCTTAGAAAAAAAAGTCCTATCTTCCTTCATTCTTCCTAATTGGGTGTGTAGCCAACCGTCTGGGCACTGTTAAGGTTGCTATCCAACCCTAAGCCGCACTAAGTGCTTCCTTGTCAGTGTCAACAGTGGGTATTGATTTTTCGGATATGCGTGTACAGTTTTGCCTGTATTCGATGAAGTATTTCCGGAACAAGACATAAATTCGAAGAGCTGTACTTTTTATGGTTGACGTTAACTGTTGTATAGCGCAGAACGATTTACCCGGTTATAGTAATTTTATGACCGGAAAGACATATAAAGAAGCAAACCAAATGTCAACGAATGAATATATTGATCTCACGTTTTAATGTTATTTTCTGTTGTTAAATTCTCTTGGAAAACGCGCGTGTGGAAGGGTTAATGACTAGATTGTGGATGAATTACTATATAAAGTTGGAAACAAATTTATTCCGCTGGCTAGAACATCCCTTATGGCGTAATAAATTAGAAATGTTTCTAATGGACTAGGGATTTCATGCATTTATGATTTGAAACGGTTAAAAGATTGAAAGAATTAAAAAATATTAGATTATTATATCCAACCTGTTAAAATGATTCAAACATTTATTTTTCATAATTATTAAAGTCTGTTTATTTTAATGTTAAGCTGCACGTTGAGTATAAAGTTACTGGCACATACTCACACATGCACAAAAATGCATTATCTTTTAATAATCGAATGGCTGGTGTCTGTATAAAGATCGCATTTTTTAAATAATTGGTGAACAGTGATATTGAAGGAAAAAACCCATCTCCTTTTATCGATATAGGAAGTAAGTAGTTCGTGGAAACACCTGCGGTTTTTAATTTCCCTGCAACATTATATAATAGAATAGTGAAAAAAGCTCTTAAAAAGGAATTGCGTCACTCAACGCAACTTTCTAAAAATGTTAAATCAATTGCCGTCGACCTCAAATTAATGAAAACTAACCAGGATACATAACGGTCTTAAATATGTTGCCAATTAAAATTACTTCTCGGTGGAACCAGGTTTTTTGGTTAGAGGGGGGGGGGGGCATCCGGAATCGCTGCCCGCTACCTCTTTTTGTATTTTTCTGGGGGATCGATTTACGCACGCTTTAGACTACAGCTGTTTGGTAGCTAACGATGCTGAATTCGATAAATTATAGTCCCAAGGGGGTAACGATACGAAACTAAACACCGTGAATTTTATACGCGATATAATAAAAACCGACGGATTTATTTTAGCAGCGATTCGTTTCACTTTCATACTTTCGAAGAAATTTTAACAAGTAGCATATTTGTTACTCACTTTACTAACGAAAGTTTATTTTGCATCTTTCTTTCTGCTCCCTGCAAGGTAATTATTCGATCAATTTTATCTTTTCTTTACATAATTAGTAAAGAGCTCTACACGTTATATCGTTCTTCCTTAAATAAGTTGTTATATCAATAATATTATTTGTTAGAATAATAATATATTCATGATATTAGTAGACATGCGTACAAAGAATTCAATTCTTCAACGAAACTCGAAGTGCATTTTGGAGGAAAGTAAAACAAGTACTTTTGTTATTAACTAAAATTAATGTTTCAACTGTTCAGAAAAATTCGATTTATTCGTTTGCATGCCTAGTCTTTCATATTTTCGTCGTTCATATTTTTCTTGAATTTTTATTTCTACGAAGCACGGGGCAGCGTCTTTAACATATCTAAAGTGGAGAATTAAATTAATCTTTCCGCTTGTTACTTTCGATTTATTATGGACAATTGAAGCGCCGTGTAAAATGGAAAAATTGAATACATAGATGAATATTCTTGGGTGTAGTAAACTTTGTTAACGTAGGATAAAAATTTGTACTGTGACAACGAAAATATTAATTTTATTTAAAACAAATTTCTTAATATTTAATTCTTATTTCATTTTGTATTTTCTTTTTCTCGTTATTATTCTTTTATTTGTCATATACACAAAATTGCAATACACTATTGCAATATAAACAATGCGTTATATGCTTAACTATAATATTTTAACATTTAATTCGATAAAACGTGTATTTATTGAAATATCAAATTTTATTCAAATGTTAACGATATGTAATGGTTTTTAACTTTCGTCGACAAGGGTTGATCATAAGAACGGATTATCTATATTTGTTTCTTTCCATTGATTGTTCATAACTGGAGCATGATGTTGAATAAAAAAAAACATTAATGTATTGAGGTCTGCACCATATATCACACATATCTGAATCATTAAAGTGTAATGGTCTCGGAAGTTCAGGTATAAGCAAACTTACTTAACTTGTTGAAGAACTTACCATCGATTCTTGGTTCGGAATTGTACGTGAAGTTTATGCGAGCTCCGCCGTAGAAAGAAGATTGGTCTGCAACTTCTTCCAAGTTTTTGCTCGTAAACCGGTCTTCACCGAAATAAGGTACTGCACTTGAACTGTAGTTTTTATTCGCATTCTAAAACAAGCGGACAAATGCAGAAATTGCTTTTAGCATCGTTGATCTTGTAATATTAATGAAATTATTTTCACAATAAACTGTAAAGTTATTGATTACGTGCACAACTTAACGAGTTTCTAATAAGAAGTATCATCGATCAGTATCGAAAACTGCGTTCGTATTTTTAAGCACGATATCTTGTAAGTGTTGCATTCGGGAATATAAAAAGAAAAACTATTTCTACAAATAACATATAAGAACTTACATTTGGATGATTCCGATCGAATAAATTTTCATCAAAATTTCCTTGCACATCTTCGAATGAAAAATGCGGCAATGATTTCACTAACATTTCTAGGAAATCGGCGGAAACGTTATTTCTATATCGTTCCGTGCCCGAATATGTTTCAGTTTTTGAGATTTCGTTAATACGAATGGTAGTATCCGTTTTTCCAGAAGTTTCCTTGTCGAAATCTTGATCGAATCCCGTCCACAATGATGGCAGTTCATAATTGCCGACAGATAAATCCCTTAACGTTCCTAGAACACTCTTAACAAAGAGAATGCAATAAGAAACAAGACTTGTAAACCGATTGGTTAATAGAAAATACTTACGAGAGAGAAATCATTAACTTGTGCAGTAGGAATTTCTTCATTTTGTGATGTTAGTACAATTTGTTTGTGAACATTGCCACGAGTATCAGCGTTAGGACTGCTGATTTGAGTGTCCACGACCTCCATGGTGGCATCTTCATTGTCTGGTGACGAAATTTCCTTTTCCTTTTTCCGATGATACAAGGTATCTGTTTCTGAATTATTATGTACCGGTAAAAAAATATTTTCGTTAATAAACGACTCGTCTTTCAAATTCGTCAAATTCCATTCGCGTAGAAGGCTATTTATTTCTTCTGATATCTTGTTTAAATCGTCTTGCGTTGGTTCATCCTGTAATCGGTAAAATAATGAGAATCAATGATAATGTTGTGTTCCTCATATTTTAAATAAATTAACTTTTAAAAAGGTACAGATGGTTCATAAAATTCTTCGTACAGAATTATATGTAATAATAATATTCAATTGTAATGTTATCAATTTTACGGTAATTATTAAATATGTCAATCGGATTGAATTAAATTTTATATACGTAAAATCAAATAAGTATTTGGAATGATGTATTCGTTAACGCAAAAATCAATATTTATTCCCGATTAATTAATGCTAACCCAATCTACTAAATGTTCTCTGAAAACAGTCTTATTTTTTATTCGAAACAGCATTTCACCCAGACCACGACCCACTGACGATTTCGCTCCCGAATGTTAACTATTCCACGAATACCATCAATTAATTTAATCAGTGCACTGAAAATGCAATCGAAATTCTGCCGCGTTTACCAATGTATCGTAAATGGAATATTGATTTCCCGCCACGTCCTGTGCCCCTTCCTTTTCTGTCCGCACTCGTCCCGGAAATTTCAATTTTGCGCGTATGCTGTCATGTTTATCCACTTTGCGAGAATCGTGTGTCTGCGACGCTCTGAGCCATTTTCGAAATTCCTCGCTGCGCGACGTCGAGGCAAGAATTCCCTCGACCCAGTCTGCATACGCACTGGGAGTCAGTATATCGCGAATGGATTCAAGCCAATCTTGAAATTGCTGGAAGTAGCGGATCGTAAGCTTTTATCGTGGAATGTCAAGCTCGTGAACGCAGAATTGTATTACTTAGGATATTGCGCTCCGGCAAGAAAGTAAACGTCATTTTCTGGGCCCGGGTTGCTATGGGACAATAAACTGGCAACTTCCTTGCTTTCGCAACGAAACCAAAAAATACATCGAAAAGTTATATTCTGGGAATAACCATAAAAAAGTGAAACAGAGTTATATTGTAATACGATTCAAAATCATTCATTTAAGCGAATATATAGATTTTTCGCAACGTAGGACGCTCCACACAAATTAATTTACTGTAAGATTGTATGAAAGTGTAAAAATTTAACCACAGAGCGCACCATCGACTTTTGCCATGAAAAAGTGAATAGAACGTATTTAGGGAAAGCCTGTTTCATTCTCTGTCCACGTTGCTCGTACCATTTTCCCCAAAATTTTGGGAAAAGCCATGAAAGATAGCGAGCAAGAAAATTATCGCAGAAGAGCTATAGTGTTACTGTGCGAATGACGAAAGAATAACCATAAAAAAGTGAAACAGAGTTGTAGTAATATTGTAATACGATTCAAAATCATTGATTTAAGCGAATATATAGATTTTTCGCAACTTAGGACGCGCCACACGAATTAATTTACTGTAAGATTGTATGAAAGTGTAAAAGTTTAACCACAGAGCGCATCATCGACTTTTGCCACGAAAAAGTGAATAGAACGTATTTAGGGAAAGCCTGTCTCATTCTCTGTCCACGTTGCTCGTACCATTTTCCCAAAAATTTTGGAGAAAGCCATGAAAGATAGCGAGCAAGAAAGTTATCGCAGAAGAGCTATAGTGTTACTGTGCGAATGACGAAAGAATAACCATAAAAAAGTGAAACAGAGTTGTAGTAATATTGTAATACGATTCAAAATCATTCATTTAAGCGAATATATAGATTTTTCGCAACGTAGGACGCTCCACACAAATTAATTTACTGTAAGATTGTATGAAAGTGTAAAAATTTAACCACAGAGCGCACCATCGACTTTTGCCATGAAAAAGTGAATAGAACGTATTTAGGGAAAGCCTGTTTCATTCTCTGTCCACGTTGCTCGTACCATTTTCCCCAAAATTTTGGGGAAGGCCATGAAAGATAGCGAGCGAAAAAGTTATCGCAGAAGAGCTATAGTGTTACTGTGCGAATGACGAAAGAATAACCATAAAAAAGTGAAACAGAGTTGTAGTAATATTGTAATACGATTCAAAATCATTCATTTAAGCGAATATATAGATTTTTCGCAACGTAGGACGCGCCACACGAATTAAGTTACTGTAAGATTGTATGCAAGTGTAAAAATTTAACCACAGAGCGCACCATCGACTTTTGCCACGAAAAAGTGAATAGAACGTATTTAGGGAAAGCCTGTTTTATTCTCTATCCACGTTGCTCGTACCATTTTCCCCAAAATTTTGGGGAAGGCCATGAAAGATAGCGAGCGAAAAAGTTATCGCAGAAGAGCTATAGTGTTACTGTGCGAATGACGAAAGAATAACCATAAAAAAGTGAAACAGAGTTGTAGTAATATTGTAATACGATTCAAAATCATTCATTTAAGCGAATATATAGATTTTTCGCAACGTAGGACGCGCCACACGAATTAATTTACTGTAAGATTGTATGAAAGTGTAAAAGTTTAACCACAGAGCGCATCATCGACTTTTGCCACGAAAAAGTGAATAGAACGTATTTAGGGAAAGCCTGTCTCATTCTCTGTCCACGTTGCTCGTACCATTTTCCCAAAAATTTTGGAGAAAGCCATGAAAGATAGCGAGCAAGAAAGTTATCGCAGAAGAGCTATAGTATTACTGTGCGAATGACGAAAGAATAACCATAAAAAAGTGAAACAGAGTTGTAGTAATATTGTAATACGATTCAAAATCATTCATTTAAGCGAATATATAGATTTTTCGCAACGTAGGACGCGCCACACGAATTAATTTACTGTAAGATTGTATGAAAGTGTAAAAGTTTAACCACAGAGCGCATCATCGACTTTTGTCATGAAAAAGTGAATAGAACGTATTTAGGGAAAGCCTGTCTCATTCTCTGTCCACGTTGCTCGTACCATTTTCCCAAAAATTTTGGAGAAAGCCATGAAAGATAGCGAGCAAGAAAGTTATCGCAGAAGAGCTATAGTATTACTGTGCGAATGACGAAAGAATAACCATAAAAAAGTGAAACAGAGTTGTAGTAATATTGTAATACGATTCAAAATCATTGATTTAAGCGAATATATAGATTTTTCGCAACTTAGGACGCGCCACACGAATTAATTTACTGTAAGATTGTATGAAAGTGTAAAAGTTTAACCACAGAGCGCATCATCGACTTTTGTCATGAAAAAGTGAATAGAACGTATTTAGGGAAAGCCTGTTTCATTCTCTGTCCACGTTGCTCGTACCATTTTCCCCAAAATTTTGGAGAAAGCCATGAAAGATAGCGAGCGAAAAAGTTATCGCGGAAGAGCTATAGTGTTACTGTGCGAATAATGAAAGAATACTTTAACGTTGTCTTCGGGGGATTGAACGTTAATGTCTTCGTTGCTCAGCGATCTTCTCGCAAAAGATGAATTATTTTGCGGTATCGCAATGCATGTTCTATTCACGTTGCAGTTGTTCGATTCGCAGGATGTCACAGTTTCCGCCACACATTTGTGCTTCCGAGGACATATCCATCCGCGACAATGCTCATCCGCCATTTCATTTTCTGTTAACATCGCGAACATAATAATTATCTCGATTAATTGTACGAAGACGTTACATTTCTTCTCCATTGTACCTGCAGCCGTTATGCAATCCGTCGTATGTTTACAGGGCGGATTCGAGCAGGTGTTCCGTGGTCTTCGTAAGAAGCAGTCAAACTCCGATGAACAACCCAGACTTCGACATTCGCCGAACCAAGTGTGCACGTCTAAGAAATAGATCTTTTCCATTAAAGATTATCTTCGAGTCGATAACAATGTCAAACAACGATCATGCGTTTACTTTAATAAGCGTTCTTATAGATTTCGATGCGCTGAACACGAATCTAAAAGTCGTGTATAAATTAATTGTAGTTGATTGTAAATGATTAATTGACCGCAGTTATAGTGCAATAATTCGACTCCAGATTTTACGCAATTATAGCAAAATTGAACGGTTGTAATATAAAATAATAGAAATATTCAAAGAATTTAATAACGTCAACGTGTTATATCTGCTAAAATGTATGACGATAAAATTTATGAGTATTTTAACTCTTCTGGTTTCGGTCTATCTTTTTGAAGACGTAAAGACGAGTAAAAATCTGTGCTCGGAGATTTTTATAAGCGATAATTTACTTAAAAAAATGTTTTACACAAAAGTGTTTACACAAAATCTCTAATAATATCGTTAAGTTGCAAATAATCTAACGATATACATAAATTCGTTTAATCTGTCTATTAGTTTAAATTTCATCTACTCACATTTTTTATAAATGTATCAAATCTGCGGTTCAGGAATAATAAACTTTGACAGGAATTAAGACTAACACAGTTGATACTGCGTGTAAATAATGGCGTTAAGATTGACCTCTGTTCTTGCTGCAGCTCCGTAGTAGTTTGCAGGGTGGATTGGCGCAAAGTGACTCCCGGAGGATACACTGGTGTCCTTGAAGGCACTTGAACCCGGCACAGGATGCCGGACCATCGTAATACTCCTGCTGAGACACGCATCTTGCTATCTGTTGCTTGCACTCTGGTAAATACGATGAAAACCAGCGAATTATTTGGTACTCTTGAAACTCTTAAACGCTGTTGACCGTTTGAGATATCGTTATCGATTTCTATTTATTCCTTTTTCAACAATTATAATACTTAATAATTTTATAATACGAATAATTGGACTGCGATTGTTTATGAAAAATAAAAATTCTCCGCAATTGCAACAAACAGGAGCGAAATAAACATTTATTTAATCTCTCAAGCATTTCAATAAATTGAAAATAATATTATAACAATCTCAAATTCCTCTAATATTTTTACTATTTAAAATTGTATTAGATCTACTTTAAGAAATAGTAGACATACAGAAATTTCTCTCTCTCTCTCTCTCTCTCTCCCTCTTTTCCTCTCTCGAATAATCTTACCGAGTTGGAAATAATACATCGACGTCGTTAAATTCTTTTAATCCGCCTAGTGTTTCAAAATGCACCATCTCGTTTATGTCTCGAAAGATCCGCAGGTACAGAGATCAGATAAAACAAACATTGTTCTATTGGATCGTTCGAAAAGTTGTTTCGTTTTTCAAAAAATTTGCATCGGTGTTTAAAAGGCACTCGATTCAGTATTTTGCGAATAAAAAACAAGGTCTTCTACTAGCATAAGATTTTAAAGCTGCCAGAAAACTGACAAAAGTACGATTCTCCGATTTTTCCTCAATTCCGTTTGCGTAAATTTATCGATCTACTTACTCTGGTCCCAAATGCATTGTCGAACTTTCACCATGCACAAGAATCCGTTGCTACAGTGCACGGTATCGCAGGTAGAAGGGCCTCTCTGTGATTCTGAATATTTGATGCGTACACGAGTTAACGAAACCCAAATAAAATCATTTAATAATGCACTCAATGCTCACCGAGAGATTTTCGAGACCTTGACTTGTAATACGCAGTAAAGACCTCCATCTAGTTAGAAAATTCGCTGAGCTGCTTACCTTTACGAGATTTCGCGCAATAAAGCATGCCGGGACACGGAGGATTTTTGCACCGAAATCTACGGTGCACGCATGACTCGGCCTTCTCGCAATGCACGTACGCGCATGCTAAATGATTATTGCCACCAATTTCTATTGTTAAACAAAAAATCACATATTCCGTAATCAGGATACGAAATAAATGAATCCTATCAATCAATTATGTTCCAACGAAACTATTCTTTATATATATCATTTGATAGAACTGAAATAATTTTGTAATTCGACGCGTTTCATGGATTATGTTAACGAATGTCCGATTTATTTTAGTCAATTAGATCGAACGAGAATATCAATTTTTATAGGAAAGTACATTTACGTAACGAATATTTTGCAGAACTGTTTCTATGTAATATAGAGGAGAAGATAATCTATCTAATACAGATAATTCTCTGTCTAATATAGAGAATAATAATAATAATCGTAATTTTACAAGAAGCATAATCACGCATTGATACAGCTTCTAGCTTATTTGCGTGTCAATCAATTTGCTTGATTTTGTGTGTTTGCAAGACAATTTACGAAGATGTCGATTGATTTTCGTTGAAATAGTTTGTTTGCATAATGTAATTATAAAAAGTCGGAGATTATAGTAATAAAGCAAACGACCTTACCTGTTCTAATCAGGTTTTGAAGATGCACACTCGTTACGAACAGAAATAGAACGATTAACGTGAAATACTTCAAAGATTTCCTCGGCATAGTGATATGAACAAGAGCGGTAGATGCTACGGAGTAATGATCGATCGTGATTGCACTTGTTGCCAATACAATTGACATAACTGGTACTGGCAGACCATTGTACATTTCGTTGCACACAGTGCATTCAGCGACGTTGTCAGTTCACTGCGAATTCATTCTCCCTTTCCTTAACCATCGTTACAATTTCTTACGATTTGTTTTATAACGAAGGAAACTTCGATGGTAAAACTTCTATTGGACAACGCAAAATTTCTGTTATTCATAGTTTCGTATTAAAAAAATTTATTAAACGATACAATTGACTAACGGTGTTTGTCATGAACATTAACAGTTGTTTGTATACTATTATTTTCTGTTGACCTCCTTATTCATCTATTACAATTTTCTACAAAATTACCGAGAAAACTAAACCACGTTGCACCTGCGTAAATGTTTATAAATATCTGCGCTAGTAGAAATAATCAATAATTGTCAGGCAAATCTGATAATTATTACATATGCTATGCGTACTAGGCTAATTATAAAAATTCCATTCGCTACGATATACGGTTCTATGTTACGTCATAAATAATATTTCTGTTTTTTTTTTCTTTCAACTTGATCTATTTGCAACCGAGCGAAGATATAACTCTGAATTCACAATTTCTTGTTTTAAACAAGTTCCCCTTAAACGGTATTTTCAAACTCGCATAACGAATCCTAAATAATGCTTCCAATTATATTAATTAACTGTGTTGTTATATTCGATCTATTTCATAGTTATTATGTACACAACGTATTCTAGTAAAAATAATTCTAATTAAAATCAGCATCAACGTCTATCACATGAACTAGTTACCTTTCTGTGTAACACTTTATTAGTTTGCAAAATCTGTCACCGTTGCATGTGAAGATATCAAATAACTGGTAATATTAAATTGAGTTTTCAATTTTATCCTCCATTGAAATTTATTTCATGTTACTTAATAAATATTTCGCTTCTTTATTTAATATCTTCTAATATCTAGCACCAGTGACAAGAAACTAGTACTATTTATTTATAAAGGGCGTTTTTTTTAGTTAGAACTTAGGCGTTTTTAGATAGAACTTTGAATTGGCATAAAACACATAAAAATTTAAGATTGAAGCCAATTTTTTTAATTTTAAAGATAATTTTATGACATTTAAGTTTTGAAAATAATTTCCGTCATATGTCTACTGCGACTAACTTTGATGAATCGGATTGGATCGGTTCAATTTTTAACCACTTTTTCAGGTAATTGGGGATGTATTTCGTTAATAACACGAGTTATGTCTGTTCCCATGGCGTCAATTGTTACTGGTTTCTCAGCATAAACCTCCTCAAAAAAAGAAAAAAATAATCCAAAGGCATAAGATCGCATGATCTTGAAGGCTAAATCACTGGACCATTTCTTGAAATAATTTTGTCACCAAATTGTCCTTTCAATAAATTGAACGAACAGAACACTGATTTTGGAAATAAATTTCCACAATTTGTAAACGTTGCTGCGGCTTCAGACTTTCCACGTTGATTTGTCAAAGCTTACTGAACTGAAATGTCAAAACAAAATGTTATCTACCAAGTGTCAAATGACAGATAACCATATTGGAAGTTCTATCACTCTAAAAAAAAAACACGCTTTACAAATCTGAACTGAGTTCGATTTAGATTCTTATCTTCTTTGCGTTCGGTATGCTTGTATTCTTTACTAATTATTTGATCAAACTGATAGTTTCCTTTATGCATAATCTCTCTATTATAACAATTTAATGAAGAATTTCCGCTGAGAAAAGCATCACGAACAATTAGTAGCGTGAATCTTTATGCATCGACAGCAAAACAATCTTATCGAAAAGCGATAAAGAACAAAATTCAATAAGACTTGATACAATTCTCAGTTACCTCCGATAAAATTCTACTTATTCCAATTTTCTTCTATACTTCGTCTAAAACGAAAAATGAGAAATCGCATGAACAATTTCTCACTTTAAAAATTAATAATTACATAAAATTTGTTCTCGCTTAGGTTCACAGAACGTATCCGTAAAATTTAATCCTCGGTCAAGTTCTAGAATCATGGGTCTCGCAATACCGTTTCTCGCGCAAAAACGTCGCTGAAACTAACGAACTGATTCATTCGCAATTAGAAGTTCGCGCTGTGACCAACGGTCGCTCGTTAAGTGGTGCTTTTGACCCGTAACTGCAACAACCCTGCGAGCGCGCTAGTGAAACCAGCATTATAGTCCAACGTAACTTCGGTGTACACGTAATCATCTCGATGATCATGGAACTTGTCTGCCTCATCGGGACCGGAAACCAACGCCCCGTACAGAATTTGAGGATTCGGAGCATCCTCGTCGAATTCAGGCCATCCGCAAGCCGCGGGTTTGTCGGGGCAAGACGAAGCCGCGTGGTGGGGCTGCTTCGGAGGATTTCGACCCCAGCCGATTACGTAGCTCCTCCCTAATTGCAGAAAACTGATAGTTTATAGTCTGGTTTATAATAGTTCGTGTACGGAATCTAGTGAAACCGGTTTATTTTCGCGTTAAGGGGATACAGTGGTGTCTCCCTAATTGACGCTAAGATTCTGCACAAAAATGGACAATTTAGGAAGAGGATATACAATTATTGGAGCCTTGTAGCTCGTTTTTATAGTTGTCGACGATTCGTAACTATAAAAACGAACCGCAAGGCTCGAATAATCGTATCTCCTCTTCCCAAATTGTCCATTTTTGTCGACAACCTGAGCGTCAATTAGAGAGAGAGAGACATTACTGTGTTCTCTTTTGGAAACGTTGAAGAAGTGTCCTTTTCTGTTGCATCTTTTCATTGTCAGATGCGTATGTTTCGATTGAAAACAATGACACGGATGCCAAAAATTGAAGAATTGAAACACTACGCGTAAATTAAATGACGCATGGACCAAGGGGAAAGGGAAATCGGTCACCCGTTCCACCTGGTCTCTTCCAATATTTGTTGATCCCAGACTTTTGATTATTATTGGCTATGCTACGCGCTGAACAAGTGACGTGATTAGGTGGAGCGGCCGACCGATTCTCCTTGCCCCTTGCTCCTCGCGTGGATTAGCTTGTGGGACCTCTTGTTTATCAATAATAGTGGGTTTCGGGAGATCATTTGGAGGGACATACGGGCGTACAGACTAGGCTGAGCAAGTGGAATACCCCCTCGCCCCTTTCTTAGCAAGGGAAAATATCTCAATTCTTCAAAGTTCTGGACAGCAATTTGGTGAACTGTATTTCAATTACGTTGTATTCAATTATATCGTATTCAATTTGATTCTATTCAATTATATCGTATTCAATTAGATTCTATTCAATTATATCGTATTCAATTAGATTCTATTCAATTATATCGTATTCAATTAGATTATATTTCAACATATC